AGTGGTTAGGACTCTGTGCTTTCTGTCAAGGGTCCAGGGTTCAATCCCTGGTCAGCTGTTCGGCGTGGCGGGGTGGCGGAGGGGGGAAGATATCTGACTTTGGGACTTCCCTGGCAGTCCAGTGGTTAAGACTCCTCGCTTCCACTGCAAGGGGCACAGGTTCAATCCCTGGTGGGGGAACTAAGATCCCGCAAGCTTCACAGTGTGGCCAAAAAAAAAAGTTGGGACTGCGAGAATGACTTAATCCCTTCCTGGATATCCAAAATGTAAACAAGGTTTACTCAGTTTGGCCCTTCATGCCACAGGAGCGTACCTGGAACTATGAAGAGAGGGCGACGTGTCTGTGAGTACCACACAGGTCCTGTCCTGAAATTCCTAAAAATCAAAGGTGAGGCTTGCCTGGTTGAATGAATATAGCCCACAGTTTTGGAGTACAGTTTAGTCACTTGAAGACCAGCACAGTGGAATCTCATAGAAAGCATTTAACACATGCAGATCCAACTAGAGGAGCTTGGCAAAAAAAGAAGAGAGAATTTAAATTGAGTGAGTTAAGGGACTTCCCTGGTGGTGCAGTGGTTAAGAATCCGCCTGCCAACGCAGGGGACATAGGTTCGAGCCCTGGTCTGGGAGGATCCCACATGCCGCAGAGCGACTAAGCCCGTGGGCCACAACTACTGAGCCTGCACTCTAGAGCCCGCCAGCCACAACTACTGAGCCCGCCAGCCACAACTATTGAGCCCGCGTGCCACAACTACTGAAGCCTGTGTGCCTAGAGCCCGTGCTCCACAGCAAAGAGAAGCCACCGCAATGAGAAGCCTGCACACCACAACGAAGAGTAGCCCCCGCTCGCCGCAACTAGAGACAGCCGGCGCTCGCAGTAATGAAGACCCAGTGCAGCCAAAAATAAATAAATAAATAAATTTAAAAATAAATAAATAAATAAATTGAGTGAGTGAAGGTGGGTGTGTCTGCCTCCCTGCTCAGTGAGGTGGGAGGACAGAGGAGCCCTTCTGCTTAACCAGGCTCTGTAGGTCTTGCTTCCCGAGGACCTCTCATGGGGTGAGCATCTAGCTGGGCTGAGGGTTCAACGGTTTATGTTTTTTTCCTACAAGACCGCTGAATAAGCCAACAACTTTTTCCAGTGTTCAGCCGAAGAACCAGGGATCTGTGCCAGTCCTAGAGGGAAAACTGGATTGACAGAGAGAGGGTAGGTACATCAGTCTCCACTAGACGAAGTGGTCCCCAACCTTTTTGGCACCAGGGACCAGTTTTATGGAAGACAATTTTTCCACGGACAGGATGCGGGGGGGAATGGTTCAGGCAGTAATGCGAGCGGTGGGGAGTGACAGATGAAGCTTTGCTCGTCCGCTGCCCAACTCCTGCTGTGCGGCCCAGTTCAACAGGCTGCACACTGATACCGGTCCAGGGGTTGGGGACCCCTGCACTAGAGCACCTCTTAAGAGATTATTGTTTTAGGATAATATCGACTACATTTGGTCATCACTTCCTTTAGATAATAACGCCTCCAAGCGAGATACGATGATGCCATCACATTCTCAATGATTTGATTAAACTTCATCAGTGATTCACTCTGGGCGTTGAATTGAGTCTGTGGATATCAAGAGAACAATACTATAGAATAAATTTTTAAAGAACTTTAATTAATTAATTTATTTATTGGCCTCGCTGCACGGCTTGTGGGATCTTAGTTCCCCAACCAGGGATCGAACCTGGGCCCATGGCAGTGGAAGCACTGAGTCCTAACCACTGGATTGCCAGGAAATTCCCCAAGAATTTAAAAAGTTTATTGTCTTGTATCATTGCTAAAAGACTCACACTTCTGTTACCCCTACTTCCGATAAAAATAAGATCCAGTGTACAGAAGGGTGTGAGAAAGAGAGCATCCTCACCCTGTAGGTGGGGTGTAAACTGGGCTTCCTTTGGGAAGGCAGCTTAATGGTACCTACTCTAACTTAAGACAATTCCATTTGGCCCAGCAAATATGTTCGTTTTTATCTACTCCAGAAAAACACACAAATGTAAATGAAAGTGGTGCAAGAATGTTTATTATGGTACTATTAGTAACAATGAAAACATAAATTAAAAACAACCTGAAAGCCCTGCAGTAGGGAAATGGTTATGGAATATTATGTAGTGATTAAAAGAGCACCAAGAAAAGAGCACCAAGAAATATCACTGTGACCAAACTTCTTTTCAGAACAATATGGACTGTTTAATATTTATGTACAATAAACTAAAATGGATATGCATATAAACACATAGGAGGATCTATACCCAACCGATAGATAACTAAGCTTACTTGGGGAATTGCAGTAGTATTGGGGGAGCTTTAGGGGCAATTTACTTTATTGCTTGACTTTTCTTATAATAAAATATTTTCATGTATCACTTGTGAAACTTATTTTTTTATTTTTTGGCCATGCCACACGTCATGCAGTACCTTCCCCGACCAGGGATCGAACCCGTACCCCCTGCATTGGGAGCGTGGAGTCTTAACCACTGGACCACCAGGGAAGTCCCACTTGTGAAATTTAAAATGAATAAAAATGGAAAAATATTCAAGGGCCGCATACAGATAGGATTTCTGATCACGTGGCCACTTGTGAAACAATGTGAATGTCCCAGCCTCCAACACCAAATCCCATAATCCTTTCTGCTGGAAGCTCAGGATAAAGAAGAGTTTATTCTCTTAATCAGACTGTAAATCTGTACTGTCCCATGCGGCAGCCACTGGCCTCGCAGGGCTGCTGAACACTTGAAATGTGGCTGGTCTGAGTGGAAAAGGGCCATAAGTGTAAAATACACTCCAGATTTCAAAGTATAAAAAAAAAAAAACTCAACAATTTTCATATTGGTTACATGGTGAAACAATAACAGTTTAGATATGTTGAGTTAAATAAAATATGCTATTATAGTTAAGCTCACCTGTTTCTTCTGTTTTTTCTTTTTATGTGGCTACTAGAAAATTCAGTTACATATATGGCTTCCACTAATGGCTCTTATATTTCCCTTTAATAGTGCTACTGTAATCCTTTCAACCACAGAAATCAATGATGTCTTACTTCTCTGTTTCCATGAGGTTAGGCACAGTGATTGGCAGAGAGTAGGCACTTAGTAACTGTTCACAGACTTGATGAACAGAAGATTACAGTGGAGTGTTACATACCAATCTTGTTTACCTGTTTGCCTGGGGCGCTGGGAAACTCAGAACTGTTTCATGCTTGGTGGATCCCTGGGATCCCACACTGGCTCAGATCAGCTCTAGACTGGAGCTAGGGTGGACGAGGCCCCTCAGGCAGAATTCAGTATTGTTCCTGGAGCCAGGAAAGTGAGACTGTCACAGCCCCCTCTTCCATATACACAAGCCCTTTTTCTTCTATAAACTGAGGTCCAACAAAGTCCAACAAATGAATAGAGCCAAACTCAGTGAGAACAACCATTTAACCTTGTTCAGGTTCTTCTGAGCAAACTTCCTGTGTGTCACTGGATCCACACAGCGGCCTGGGGTATGGATTTAAATCCCTGCCTTTGGGACCAGCCAAAACATCCTTCAGTTTGAATGATATTTTAGAGAAGCTCTGGGTTTTTCATTCAGCAAAAGTTTTCTAAGCATCTATTCAGTGTGGCATAGTGTTTGAGTTCACAGACTTGAGCCAGATGGCCTGGGTTCACATCCCTGGTCTGACTGTTTGCTAGCTATGTGACCTTGGTCAAGTGATCCCTGCATAATTTTCCTCATCTGTGAAATGGGATGGAAATAATAATTAACCCACCCCATAGAGTGGTGGTGAGATTAAATTAATTAATACAGGGAAAGTGCTTAACACATAGTAAAGCACCTGGAACATAGTAATGTTACCGAAAGTGGAGGCCCAGCTGCTTGCACTGCTCAAAAGCCAATAAGGAGGCAAAATTGGTGGAAATGAAAGTTTGCTTTATTTTGGAGGCTGGCAATCTTAGGAGGGGGGGAGGGCGGACTCCCATCCAAAGGCCGACTCCCCACCACTGACCATCAGTGGGCAAGAGCTTTTATAGACAGAGGGAGGGGGCTACATTCAGAAACAGCACAGTCAGCTCTGACAGTCATCTTGAAATTAGTCATGCAGTGGTCTGAACAGTGTCATCTTGATTGTTTTAGGTACAGTTAGTCTTTAGTTCCAGGGTCGGTTTGTTCCCATTTCTTTGAGGCCAAGTCTCAGAATTGTGGCAGTTTATGTCATGGATATAGTCTGGTCGTCATGTAGTTAACTTCTCCCACCTGGTGGGGCTTTCAGTATCTCTAAGACAGCTCACAGGATATGGCTAAGAATGCTAAATATAGCCCTTGAAGAGGAACTAAAGGACTGTGCTTAATGACTGAACTATTATTATTTAGTCTTGTTGGACTGCTTTCCTTTGTTTCTGCATTTCCTCACTTCTCTGATTAAACTTATTCTTTGGCTAAAGTTTTTCCACAGACAAAAGGCAGGCTGAGGACATGCGGGGCCAGGACCATAGGCTGCTGCTCCATTTCAGTAAGTGTTCAATTAGCATTAGTTACTATTACTTGGAACCACTGCCTATGTCAGGTCCTGGGGACATTGATGAATCTGACACTGCTCCTGCCCTCCAGGAACTCAGAGCTGGGGCTGGGGGCTGGGGATACAGACAAATAAGTGTGATAAGCATCATAAGTATCAAAATAGGGACAATAGGGCACTGAGGAGGGCAGGGTGTTGGAAAAGATGTCACAGAGCTCCAATCCTTGAACTGAGGCTCACAGGATACTCAAGTGGTTGCCAAACAGACAAAAACATCAGGCAGAATGAATGGGAGCAGAAGAAGGACTTCCCCTGCCCCCACCATTGTGAAAATAGTTTTCCTATTCAAAAAATAAAATACATTCATAAAAAGCATTGAAAAGATAGAGAAGCAAATAAAAACACTCTTCTTGTTAAGCAGTGTAAACGGGATACATGTTTCCAGATGTCTTTCCAGGCAGTGAGATGCACTGTGATGAATGGTGTGCACCTGCAATGTCACACAGATGGGGTCATCGCGATGCACGGGTGCCATGAAGGATTCTGGTGTCCTACCAGGAGGGTGCCGAGGGAGTAGACAGCTTGTCAGAGGTGGGGCAGTGGGGAAATAATGAAGCCAGCTCAATCTGTTTCATATCCCAGTGCTATATCACTTACACGCTTTGTGATCTCAAGCAAGTCACTTAATGTTTCTGAGTCTCAGATTCTTCATCTGGAAAGTGGAGAAATGATCATTAACCTCATAGGATTTCTATGATTGAATTAAATGGTGTCTTTATATGTTTATTTTATTTTTTATAATTAATTAATTTATTAATTTATTGGCTGCATTGGGTCTTCGTTGCTGTGCTCGGGCTTTCTCTAGCTGCGGTGAGTGGGGGCTACCCTTCGTTGCAGTGCACGGGCTTCTCATTGCGGTGCCTTCTCTTTGTTGCGGAGCACAGGCTCTAGGCACGTGAGCTACAGTAGTTGTGGCACACGGCCTCAGTAGTTGTGGCTCGTGGGCTCTAGAGCACAGGCTCAGTAGTTGTGGTGCACGGGCTTAGTTGCTCTGCGGCATGTGGGATCTTCCCGGACCAGGGCTCAAACCCGTGTCCCCTGCATTGGCAGGCGGATTCTGAACCACTGCGCCACCAGGGAAGTCTCTAAATGGTGTCTTTAAAGCATTCATCATAGTGCCTAGCATGTGGAAAGTGTTCATTAAGTGGGACAGATTATCACTGCTTTTAAGGCAAATAAACAACTTGGCATTTAGGTTTATGCTAATCTTCAATGTTTTTGGTTAGGGTGTCATCTTGCCAACACTAACACGTGGGTCCACACCTCTGCTCTTTGCAGAAGGCTGTAACATACCAGTACCTTTCACACATAGCAGGCGCTACTTGCTACGTAGGGCAGATAAATCTTTCTTTAAAGAAAGATGTGGGGGAAATTGGGTCAGAGGTCAGGTTGCAGAAGCAGAAAGACATGGCCAAGGGAGAGAAAAAGGCCAAGGAGGTCCCAGCTCATCAGGCTTCTTGCAGGGGTTTGAGATCAGCCTCTGGTCTGGGGAGATGCGGCCTGACCGACAGCTGTAACAGGGACCTGCCCAGGGCCAGTAAGGGCTAGGAGGGAGAGGGCAGGGGGTAGGCAGACAGGTAAAAAAGACCAGCTGGACCTTTCCTGAGTGGGTGTTACCAAGCCCAGCTCAAGGACGGGGAACACAGATGCAGTACTCAGAAAGAGTAAGTTTGTCCAGTTTGATTTTAGAACATGAAATTCCCCCTTTCCTAAACCGGCTCTTCCAAAGCTCTGCATATGTCGCCCTCTGGCGTTCACAACTGGCAACTACAGTGCCTTGTTCAACCTCTTTCCCAGAAAGGGGCGGGACTGCGGCTCTCCCCGAAGACGCTCCCCACCTTCAGCTGGTCCACTGGCCAAGTGGGCATCTTTGGCTAACCCCATGCAAAGGCCTGAGAATGTGGGACAAAACATAGCTGGGGAGGTGAGAATCCTCCGCAGAAACAAGAGTCAGGAGGCTGGCTTAGCAGAATTTGACTAGCGGAGTCCACACATTAGGGCTGAATTTACCATGACTCCATTCAGGTGACTGGAGAACAGGAACAAGATGATAACAAGCCAGGGCTACCAACTGCCTAGCTTCCTACCCAGAGCCAGGTCGTGTGAAGGGGCGGCTGGTCAGCTCGGAGACAAAGGGAGAGGACAAGGGCCAGGGGCTGGCATGTGGCCGACACAGGGGTAGGAAGGGGGCTGGCTGCCTCTTTCTTAACAGTGAGTGCTTTGGGTTTTTGTAGAGAAGCCATTAGAATCATCTAATCTTGTTCTCCAGACCCTGATTCCACAGGCTCAGAAGATTCAGAAGGGGTTCAGGCTCCAAGTAACCTCTGCTTAGCCTTGTGCTTCCCCCAGAGAGTCATGGCCATGTTTACCCTGTGAATGTTGCAGGCCTCCACACGGTCAACAAGCGCTGGGGAAGATTGGGAACAGTGGAACTAGCCTCCACTGCTGGGGGGAATGTAAATTAGCACAGCTGCCTTGGAAAGCTTGGTATCCTGAGAAATGTTAGTGGTGCATCCCCAGACCCCAGCAATTCCACTCCTGGGTATACAGCCCAGGATTTTTTGCTCAAATTTTTGTGCTCACATTCTCTCTACAAGAATTTAACGGGTACGGTTTTCTTTTGTACATTCAAAGTTACTTAGAACTTTAACATAGGTAGAACTTTTCACCCTTAGTTTAAACAAGCTTGAAAAGACTATTATTTCCAGTATTATCGTAATGTCAACTCTTTGAGATAAAGCAGTTAGTCATTCTTTTAAATGTATCCATAGGAATATAAATGCCACAGTGATTTGAACCCACAATTATCCACTTTAGAGGTAGACAACAAGTTTTTCTTGACCAGTTGCACGTTATATATTGTTTCATTTTCTCCTTGAACTTATATTTCCATTCTGCACAGCCCTGGGAATATCTTCACGTACCCTGGAAAATCCAGAGTTCCCTGTGAAGTGGATCCATGACCTCTCTGCCATTCACTCTGAGTTAACTCGGGTTTGGCTCAGCTGAGTGATTTTCCAGGAAGATCCCAAACCAGCTGGGTGTTCTTCTAGCTCGGTGACCCGTTGAAATTTAGTTCCTTTCCATTACCCTTTGTTTGTTCAAGAAGAGTCTGAACCAGGGTCCTAGCATGCAGGGGCACAAGTGCTTCTAACGACAACACTCTTAAAAGATTGCTGCTTATGTAAACAACAGGGAATTTCACACACTAATAATTACATATATCAGAGCTTATAATGTACCAGGCACTGCTCTAAGTACTTTATAAACATTATTGCCTGATAATCCTCACCATGCAGTTTAACCTATTTATCACACTATATCCCATTTTACCAACAAAAGGAAAGTGTCTTCTAAGACCAAAAATCTATCCCCCTAAATAAAATTACTTATGAATATCCAGGAATTTAAAGGATTAGGCAACCTTATTTTCCAGACGTTACTGATAATTTTCCACCAATAAGAAGCCACAGTTGGAGAAGTTAAGAGAAGTTGAAGATGTCTTCATTTTAATTGTAATGAGACCTATTGAGAAGAAAGTAACCAGGGACCAGAATGATTCTTAAATTCTTTCCTTAAAGAGACTTTGAATTAACTACAGTCAAAACAGGACACTAGATGAGTGAAATAAATGTTTTGGGACCACAAAGTGTTTCAGGATACCTAGTCCAGTACAGTCCCATCGCGAAGATGGGATGGCTGATCAAGAGCAGGACAGCTTGGAAGAGGGACCGCTAGAGGGCGGCAGAGCACAGCGAGCCCGCACCGGTCACGGGAAAGCCAACCGCGTCCCTGATGTCGAGAGAAGCCAAACGAAAAAGCCTTGCGGGCCTGGGGCGTGGGGAGAGGGGGGCGGCGGTGGGGGAACTGACCGCCTATCCCACAGCTTCTCCTGAAGGGCAAGGGAGGCAGGTGCCTGAAGGAAGGTTATGGACCAGCGGTGTCCAACAGAAATAACAACATGAGCCACTTACGTAATTTCAAGTTTTCTAGTAGCCACTTTATACAAGAAAAAAAAAGGAACAAGTGACATTAATTTTAACATTTTAAAATTTACCCACATATATCCAAAATGTTATCATTTCAACATTAATATAAAAATTAATGTAATTAATTTAATATAATAATATATTAATATATAAATTAATATAAAATTTGAGATAGCTTACTTTAAAAAATTTTGGTATTAAGTCTTCGAAAACCGGTGTGTATTTTCTATTCACTACAGCACTTCTCAGTTTGGACTAGCCATGTTTCAAGGGTTCAGTAGCCACTCGTGACTATAGATATTTAGTTTCTTCCAGATAAGTACCTCCTGCAGGACAAAGGCCTTATGAGGATTCCAGTAGCATCCTAGGGAAAAGGTCAGGCCCCAGCCTACAATCTTGACCTACACCCCCAACCCCTCCCCCAAAACACCTCCCGTACAGGTTTCTGCCGGGGCGCTGCTACCTCTCTGCTCATCTCTCAGGCCCCTCCTTGCTACATAGAGCTGCTTACTGAAATGCAGCTCAGCGTGTCAGGCCCCAGATTAGGAAATTTTCATGGCTCCTAGTGTCCTTTCTGCTCTCCTCTGATCTGCGACCAGAGGTGGTCAGTCTTGAAGAGGTTTGAGAGTTTAGATAGCTTACCTTCAATGATTGGGAAGATAACAGCAACGATTGGATTGTACATTCAGTTTCCCACTGAGAGAGGCAGACCCTCAGAGAGGTGAGGGCAGGCTCTGCTATCACCAAGCCTGGTGTGGATCCCAGCTGTAGTGGCCTTGGGCAAATGGCTTAAAGCTGTCTCTGTGCCTCAGTTTCCTTATCTGTAAAATAGGGGTAATAATAGTCCTTATCCAATAAGCATGTTGTGAGGACTAAATGAGATACTTAGTGCTTGGCACATAGGAAGAGCTAAATAAATATTAACTCTTAAAAATCAACTTTTGCATAACTGCATGTTAACCCTTTTAAACAATTATTATTTGGCAAAATACATAAACTGTTGCGAACTGCCAGCTGCTGTGTTGGACCTGGATTTGCTCTGATTAAACCTTTGTCTGTGGTGCCTGGATTGGGCTGTTATGACAGCACCTCCTGTCACCAGCCAAATGGATCCCATCATTATCAGTCTGCCAACTACAATTTTTAAACAACATAAAGAAAAAGTTTACCAATTAAAATACCTTTAAAAATAATTTAGTTATTTGCTAAAAAATGGCTAATGCTTATTGAATACTTGCAAAGTGCCACGTGGGTTTTTTGTGGTTTTTTTTTTAACGTGCTCTCATGCATTGAATTTCCACAACAACTTCATGAATTAGAGTCTATATTTTACAGATGAGGAGAGAGGTCACACAAGTAGGAGGTGGCAGAAGTTAGATTCAAATCCAGACAGCCTGGCTCCAGAGTCAGCGTGGGCCACGCTTTTCTACTTTTCACCAGCAAAATCTATTCCTTCAACCCTTAGGCCTTGTGTGAAGCTCTTTCCCCCAGCCCAGCCCCACCCCTGGGCCTGTGTTCCCAGAGGTGCGTGGGTCGGACCGCCAGTCACCTGTCATGTGACATCGCCATGAGTTATGCTGGAATCTAGTTCCTCATACCAGCGTGTCAGCCTCCTGCCTGGTGACAAGGCCCAGGCCCAGGCCCAGGGTAGGGAGCTGGATAGGTTTGATTTCTGGCTCTGGAACCTACTTTGTGGGTGCCTTAAACAAAAAGCTTAATTTGCTGTGCCTCAAAGGTGTCATGAGTACTTTTGGCCCTATGTGTAAAGTTCCTGACACATAGTAGATGTTTTATAAATCCTGGCTTCTTATCATCAAAGATAATGACTGTGCTATATTTTTCTCTGAATTAAAATATAAATTAGTTTCCTTACAACCATAAAATGGCATAATCAGTAAATTGATATGGAAGGCAATTTGGTTACAACCTGAAACTCATTAAATACACTTGCCCTTTGACCCAGCAATTGCATTTCTAGGGAATTATATACAAATATATTCCCATATGTGAGAAATTATATATGCACAAGAAAGTCATCGTAAGAAAAGGTTGGGAGCTACCAAACTGTCAAACATTAGGAAACTGTTTAAACAAATTGTAATATATCCATCAGATGGGATATGATGAAATCATGAACAAGAATGACATAACTCTATGTACAGTGGGAGGAACCACTTTCCAAAAAAAAAGAGCAAAGTGCAGAAGAGCATGGAAAATGTTACAATTTGTATAAAAACTAAAAAGAAAGGCTATATGTGTAAGTACTTTTATGTGGGTTGAATATCTCTGGAAGGAAGTGCCAGAAACTAGGGGGCTGCAGAGCTGGGCTTCAGACATGGATAGGAAGCTGACGTTTTACTGACTATCCTTTTTGAATGTTGTATGATATGCATGTATATCAATTAAAATTTTAACTAAAAATAAAAGTGAACACCTGGGGCTTCTATGGTGGCACAGTGGTTAAGAATCTGCCTGCCAATGTAAGGGACACGGGTTCAAGCCCTGGTCCGGGAAGATCCCACATGCCGCGGAGCAACTAAGCCCGTGCGCCACAACTACTGAGCCTGCGCTCTAGAGCCCACAAGCCACAACTACTGAGCCCATGTGCCACAACTACTGAAGCCTGCATGCCTAGAGCTCGTGCTCTGCAACAAGAGAAGCCACCACAATGAGAAATCCATGCCCCGCAACGCAACTAGAGAAAGCCCGCGTGCAGCAACGAAGACCCAACACAACCAAAACTAAAAATAAATAAATAAATAAATGGGAAAAAAGTGAACATCTGAAGATATTCAATCTCAGTCATAACATTTTTCCAAAAATGATATACAAATGGCAAACAGATATACGAAAATATGCCCAACATCACTAATCATTAGGGAAATGCAAATCAAAACCACAATGAGATATCACCGCACACCTGTCAAATGGCTATTACCAAAAAGACAACAATTAACGAGTGTTAGGGAGGATGTGGAGAAAAGGGAAGGCTTGTGTAAAGCTGGTGGGAATGTAAATTGGTACAGCCACTCCGGAAAACAGTTTGGAGGTTTCTCAAGTAATTAAAAATAGAACTACCATACGATTCAGCAATCCACTTCTGGGTATATATCTGAAGGAAAGGAAAACACTCTCTCAAAGCGATACCTGTATGCCCAGGTTCATTGCAGCATTATTTACAAGCCAAGATAAAGAAATAACCTCAGTGTCTATCGATGGATGAATGGACAAAGAAGATATGTATATATATATAAATTATTCAGTCATAAAAACAGAAGGAAGTTCTGCCATTTGTGACAACATAAATGAACTTTGAGGGCATTATGCTAAGTGAAATAAGCCAAACAGAGAAAGACCAATTCTGTGTCATCTTACTTATATGTGAAATCTATAAAACAAAAACCCAAACTCACAGACTGGTGGTTGCCAGAAGCTAGGGGGATGGGAGAAATGGGGAGAGGTTGGTCAGAGGGTACAAACTTCCAGTTAGAAGATAAAGAAGTGCAGGGGGGGTAATGTATAGCATGGTGACTATAGTTAACAATTCTGTATTGTATACTTGAGAGTTGCTAAGAAAGTAGATCTTAAAAGTTCTCAACACACACACACACATAAAAGTTAACTACGTGAGGGGTGATGTGTTAACTAATCTTATTGTGGTAATCATTTTGCAATATATACAGTTGCCACATCATCACGTGGAATACCTTAAACATACACAATGTCATATTTCAACTGTATCTCAGTAAAGCTGGGAAAAAAACCCTCAGTTGTCATAAGCGACATGCAAATTAAAAAAAGGTGATTATACTTTTCATCCGTCAGATTGGCCAGCATTTTCAAGTCTGGTGTCAAGTGTTGGCTCACGCCGGTCCTGTAACACCTTGTTGGTGGCAGAGTAAGATAACACAGCTAACTTTATTATTTAAAAAAAATATTTATTTATTTATTTTGGTTGCACTGGGTCTTAGTTGCGGCACGTGTGCTCCTTAGTTGCAGCATGCGAACTCTTAGTTGCGGCATGCATGTGGGATCTAGTTCCCTGACTAGGGATCGAACCCAGGCCCCCTGCATTGGGAGCACGGAGTCTTAACCATTGCACCACCCAGGGAAGTCCTGCTACAGCTAACTTTAAAACAACTTGGCTTTATCTAGTATTTGCTCTATGCTGGCACGATCCCATTTTCCAGGTCAGTTCAAAGCCAGAGGTAGAGCTGTGTCCCTACCCTAGCTCAACATCAGCTCTTGGCAGCCGTTACCTCTGTGGGGCACTGAGGCCAGACTAGAGATGCTGGTCGGAGGAGACAGGCCTCACTGTACTGTTTCCAATTTTTTTTTTAATCCAAGGAGAATGTATTCATGCATTAGTTGTATAATTAATTATAAGGTTTAAAAGTTAAAAATATTTTGAGGGACTTCCCTGGTGGCAGAATGGTTAAGAATCTGCCTGCCAAAGCAGGGGACACGGGTTTGATCCTTGGTCCGGGAAGATCCCACATGCCGCGGAGCAACTAAGCCCGTGTGCCACAACTACTGAGCCTGTGCTCTAGAGCCAGTGAGCCACAACTACTGAGCCTGTGCATCTAGAGCCCATGCTCCACAACAAGAGAAGCCACTGCAATGAGAAGCCTGCACACCTCAATGAAGAGTAGCCTCCGCTCAATGCGACTAGAGGAAGCCCACACGCAGCAACAAAGACCCAATGCAGCCAAAAATTTAAAAAATAAAATAAATAAATTTATTTTAAAAAATTTAAAAATATTTTGGCATCCCAATCCAAAAATGGGCAGAAGACCTAAATAGACATTTCTCCAAAGAAGATATACAGATTGCCAACAAACACTTGAAAGGATGCTCAACATCACTAATCATTAGAGAAATGCAAATCAAAACTACAATGAGGTATCACCTCACACCAGTCAGAATGGCCATCATCAAAAAATCTACTAACAGTAAACGCTGGAGAGGGTGTGGAGAAAAGGGAACCCTCTTGCACTGCTGGTGGGAATGTAAATTGATACAGCCACTATGGAGAACAGTATGGAGGTTCCTTAAAAAACTAAAAATAGAACTAGCATATGACCCAGCAATCCCACCACTGGGCATATACCCTGAGAAAACCATAATTCAAAAAGAGTCATGTACCAAAATGTTCACTGCAGCTCTATTTACAACAGCCAGGACATGGAAGCAACCTAAGTGTCCATCGACAGATGATGGCTAAAGAAGATGTGGCACATATATACAATAGAATATTACTCAGCCATAAAAAGAAATGAAATTGAGTTATTTGCAATGAGGTGGATGGACCTAGAGTCTGTCATACAGAGTGAAGTAAGTCAGAAAGAGAAAGACAAATACCGTATGCTAACACATATATGGAATTTAAGAAAAAAAAATGTCATGAAGAACCTAGGGGTAAAACAGGAATAAAGACACAGACCTACTAGAGAATGGACTTGAGGATATGGGGAGGGGGAAGGGTAAGCTGTGACAAAGCGAGAGAGAGGCATGGACATGTATACACTACCAAACGTAAGGTAGATAGCTAGTGGGAAGCAGCCGCATAGCACAGGGAGATCAGCTCGGTGCTTTGTGACGACCGAGAGGGGTGGGATAGGGAGGGTGGGAGGGAGGGAGATGCAAGAAGGAAGAGATTTGGGGATATATGTATATGTATAACTGATTCACTTTGTTATACAGCAGAAACTAACACACCATTGTAAAGCAATTATACTCCAATAAAGATGTTTAAAAAAATAAATAAACTACTATATATAAATATAGATACTATATCTATTATCTAAAATAGATAATAAGG